TAGTTACATTATAATCATATGTTCCATTAATTGTATGCAATAGTACCCCAGAACCAACAGTGCAATTGTTTTGCTGCTGATTGCATACACTAGTAAGGTTGCTGCTAGTATCTCCAGCCTCGTAATACCAAGTAGCATCTAGTAAAAATGCATGATTCTTTTGACCAATCTTGATGGCATGCAATGCATATTGCTGTGGTAGCATTGTCATATCTGAAAGGAGTTCAAATTTGATCTCAGCAATCTGAGCCCACCCTGTAATGTAAATCATCTCACAGTTATGACAATGAACAATACAATTGCTTACTGAATATGTTAGCGGTAATACTGTTAGTGTTGGAATCTGAACAATCAGTAGGTAAACAGCACTTATAAAATCCTTCTCTTTCAGGCAAAAGAGCTTGCCCATTTGGTAAGTACAGGCTTAGACTAGCATTTGGTGAGGCAAGGCTATCACAGCGAAATGGATCAGTGTCACTGTTGCTGTGACAGGTAACAGGATCTCCATCAATAGCTCTAACCCACTGTCCACCATTCAAAGTAGATCCAGTGGCTACACACATCAGGTGGTGTGTTTCGATGGCTACATCATGAAAGTATGATCCATTGGGATAGCACTCTCCTCTATGCATCAAGTAAATACCTATATAAGAATATCATGTAACTAATAGTAGCTGCATGGGTAGGATCACAAAAGGTTTTGCAACACACATTCTTTTACTGCACTGCTTAGTATGGCTACAAGCAACATAAATTGTAGCACCTGAAACACCTTCTCTACAAGTATAGTATCTTACCTGAGGGTGATGAACAATGACTAGTGACTTTTGTAAGGAGTAGCAAAAAGATCATCACTATCAGTGACATTTTTACTCTTCAATAAAATAGTCAACAAATGGCTGCAGTTGTATATAGCATATAGCATATGTGACTAGTTCTTTTTTAGTTTAGAATAGGGAATTGATGTTTACTCTCACAATCATTAATAATATTCAAAACATTATTAAATAGAGTATGATCATGAACATAAAAGTCCTGCAAATGACAATTTTTGAAAATTAGTTAATAGAATAGTTTAGAAAGATAAATCTAAAGTTAATTTTTTAAATTCAGCACACAGTAAGTTTTGGCTTAAAATTAATCAATTTTTTTATAACTAAAATGTTACAGATCTCTTGCTAAAATCCCTAAAATTAGTACAATACTGACAAGCTATTTTAATTGAACTTAATAATTATAGGGCAAAAGACATAAAACTACAAATGTCTATAGCTGATTATAATATATACTGACAAATTTGATTCCATTATCTTGTTTGTTATAGTCATGGTCCAACAACTAAAATGATGCTTTTCTGCTTGTGAAACAAAAACAAATTGAGGCATTAGTTTTGATTGTTCATTGCAAATCATAACATTTCTTAGTAGCGCAATCAGTAATCAAAAAAAGTCACTATATTAGTTTCTGTCATGTGAAGGAAATAGGATTCTAATAGTACATGTAGGAGCAAACAATAAGGTTTGTAGTGTGATGTATTATCTATCAGGAGAGAATGAATGCATGCATATAGTGTCCATTTGTCATAAATAGTACTATTATGTAAGTACAGCAGCAACATAGCAACATACTCTAATTGATATTGATATGAAAAGGTGTCCTAATGTTTACTATATAAGTATAATTATGCACATGCAACCATAGCCAGTGAAAGTCAACTCTGGGCTTTAGGAATAAACTTTATAGAAGATTATTTTCAGTTTAGTCTTTGTCAAAAGGAGGTTGATATATGCTATCCTATGGGGAAAGTTTATGACTGAGCTCATAAAAATACATTATAATAACTAAAAAAGAATTAAGTAATGCCATGGAAAGTATCACAATCTACATGTATTAACAACTAAGATGTATCCAGCATAAACAGGGATATACAAACTATAGAACAAAAATACGTTACATTAATGTTCAAACACAATTTTTGATAAAATTATATACAATAAACTATCACTGAAATTTCATTAAAATGGCCATAACTCTAAAAATTTTAGTCAATTCAAACTTTCTACATCACATAAGGATATCAATGTGTATTTTAAAATGTAATAAAAATTCAGGGTGATTTTGGATCCATTTTTTGGAATAAGCTGTGGGGATATAGTCCTTATTTTCTCACTTTTTAATGGCCATAACTCAAAAATTTTTAGTTCAAATTTACTCAAACTTTAGATAGCATAAGTACATCAATGAGTATCAAAAAATTTAATAAAAATGGGGATAATATTCAAGACATTTTTTGAAAAATAGAATTCTCCTTTTTTATTACATTTTCTATGCTGCATGCATGCATATGCATGTACATTCTTTACCAATACAGAACTGGCATGCCCCCTAATCCTGTTCTCCTGTCTCTTTCTACTGACTCTCTAAAATAAACACATTATGTGACTATCATGTGACCTTCTGATAATCCTTACAATTGATTCCTTCATGATAAATTTTTTAAATCCTCAAACGAGGTAAAATTGAGCATCAATGACATCCTTGAATTCCTCCTAAGCCCTCAAAAACAGTAATGACTATATTATAGGATGAACTTCTTACAGACAAAAAAGTACATTATTATAACAATGTTCATGTATATTGTACGATCTATAGTATAGTAAATGCATGTATAAGTACAGTACATGTCAAGCAATGCAGTACAGTATACATGTAAGACATATCAAATCAATGTAATATAGTACACTATATACTTCATTTATTACAGTACTACATGTGTATATGTATACAGTACCATTAGTGTATTTCTGTAAGTGCATCAGGTTGTGCAAAATAAATATAGTACCTGAGGTTGCTGAATTGATTACGTCAGATTGAGTGGAAGAAAATTAACAACCCTATAGTACCAGTATGTATAATAAAGAATATTATTACACTGTTTATAGTTCAGTAAAAGAGAGAGAGAAGGAAGGAAAGAAGAGGAGATGTGCATGATGGAAATTGTACAAACTGGAGTGACATTGACATTTTGTCGATTGTTTTATCAACAAAAAATAATGTTTATTATCATATGAGAGAGCATAAAACTCTCTAGAATGAAAAAAATGAAAGAAATTAATCACATTTATAGCATTTCAAACTATTATCATTATAATTACTTTCCCTAATAGCTATTAATAATATAATATATCCCCCAACAATAACAGGGCCCCAAAAAGCAGAATAAGGCCTACAAGCTTCATTTCAGAGCATTATTCTTAAATAATGGGGCAAAACAATGCAGTTTTATGCTCACATTTTTACCCTTTTCTGGGGGCCCCACTGCTTTCTCAGTGGCCTTGTGTACAAAACTAGTCTGGTACAGCCAGACCATGACAGTGTCAAAGAAGCATACAACTCACTGTTTGCCAGTGACTTAAAATGTATGTAAACAAACATAATATTGAGATTATACTAATGGGTAACTTTTGATATAATAAAGGTATATTACTGTACTATGCCTACATGTACATAAGTAATAAGTTCATAAAGAATTTTTGTAGGATTGTTTTGATAAAAATTAATATAATTACTATTGAAGGGAAATTAGAATTTTTGTCACTGCACCCTATAGATTCTATTGGCCTATAGATTATAATTATTAATCAAAATGCTCATATCTCAAAAATTGACAAAACAAAAAGTTTATCCATTTTGGCTGAAAACAATGGGCTATTATTAGCTGTTCAAAAAGTTCTATTTTAAAAGTGGATACATTACAACACATGGGCTCCTGAAAATGCTATATACAAACAAACCTTTAAGTATGTTTACCAGAAGAATAAATCAAGACAAAAGTCACATTTAGCCACATGAGTCACAAATACAGATAGCCATAAATTAACACAATGCAAAGAAGAGGAGGTAATGGAAAAAAGAAAATGTGAAAAAAATAAAAAGAACACAAAAATTGATTGTATACTTAATAAGTTTAGTCATATGCATTGTTTATAATAAAGATCATTGTTATTGTAATATAGTATCTGGTCAGGTCTTTTAAAATAAAGGAGCACTGAAAATAATGAAGCACTATGGTGCAATGGACTCGCCTGTTGGAATTCACTTGAGTGATATGTATTACTTGTACTGTGATATTTTAAGCAATTTGAAAAAAAATTATTATTATGGACTGCATACACACAAAAAAATGGTGTGTTGATTTGTACACACTCGCATATGTTGTTTCAACAAGAAGTGTGTTAAACCCCACATTCAACACAGGACCTGTGTTAAACCAACACATTTACTCTTTCCTATAGTAAGCAACACACATTTTCGCCACACCCATACATTTTAGATTAGTTCACACCTTTTTTATCATGGCATCTTTGAACTTGCTGTTAGATCTATTTTCGGATACTATATCATGACTATATTTGCTCGTAAGTGAGAACATATATATATATTATAGTTAATGTATATTTTATAGTTGTTGCATTTCAAAACAATAAAGTCCAAAGTGCTCTGTTACAGCCATCTTTCTCAATAACAAACAAAGAACCAGATTTATTCTTTAACTGAAGGGTGCCATGGCAGTGCAAAGAATTAAAGGAAATCCACTTGAGAGTTGAATTGTTTGTTGTAAGTTTGAATGCACACAACATTGTATTGAATGTGGCTTCGGCATATGACTCAACATAAAACAGTTTATCTCCTTTGTACACAATGATATCCTTTATCATGGCATATTGAAAATCTCCAGGACTTTTGATCCTGATTATTGTACCAACTTTATAGTCAATACCATGAATAGTGATAGTCTGGCACCTGCAAATTAAAATGAATTGAAATTAATTACAGTACATGTGCACTGCAATAAGACATACACGTACATAGAGAGAAAGATAATCTTTGTGCATAGGTCATGGACTCATGGTTTTATATTAGTTACATACATGTACATGTACAGTGTACCTTAAGCCATACGTTGTCACAGGTACTCCTAGGATAGGTTCTATTTCGTTTTTAACCATGCTTAAGTCATATAGCTTGCCTATTATGGTATGTGAACTTGCATCTACATGTAAAATGGTACTAACCTGAATGATGATCACCACTGTATAAGAAATGTGAAGTATGCTGGCCTGGCCTAACAGCCAACTGATATGACAACCACTGTTGATGTCTAATTCCTACAGATAGCGGGACATTTTTGAAGCATTGAGTGACGAAGCTTTTTAATTGAGCATTTTTTGATTCAAACCGCATACACCATTGCTGTCGTAAAGGT